GTAATGCGTAAAAAAAACCCAATATACTTGATTGCCTTATTTAATGAAGCTTACAGGGAATAAGACACCAAAAGGAAGTTGGGGAGCGTTTGGGGAACATCTGTAACGGTCCCCGTTACAATTAATACTAGTTATTATGTTCCCCAAACGAAGTTGGGGAACATATTGTTTTTACTCTGTTTCTTATTATTATTATTATTTTTCTTCTTCTTCTTCTTCCTGGGTACTTTTTTGTCCGCGAGTGATCTCGTCAACTACTCATCCGATTGAGGTGAAACCTTTTTAGGGTTAATAGGCATGTTATGTAGATTTGCGGAATCAAGGTCATTTTGCGCGCACGTGCATGCACGTGCGTGCGCGTGCAATGCGTAAAATGACTAATATACTTGATATAGCTGTAACTTTTATATATTTTGATGAAATGCTTTGATACTCAAAATATAAGGATATATTAAAAGTGTAAACAAGATGACATGGTCAACATGCACATGCATGCACGTGTGCGCACGCGCAAAGCGTAAAATGACAAATATACTTGATATATTCGTAACTTTTATACTTTTTGATGAAATGCTTTGATACTCAAAATATTTATATATATTAAAAGTGTAGACAAGATGACATGGTCATCATGCACATGCATGCATGCATATGCATGCACGTGTGCGCGCGTGCAATGTGTTAAATGACCAATATACTTAATATAGCCGTAATTTTTATATTTTTTTATGAAAAGTTTTTATATTAAGAATATACAGATATATTAAAAGTGTAGACAAGATGATGTGGACATCATGCTCATGAATGCACATGCGCGCGCGTGCAATGTGTTAAATGACCAATATACTTAATATAGCCATAACTTTTATATTTTTTTATGAAAAGCTTTGATACTAAGAATAAACAGACAAATTATAAGTGTAGACAAAATGGCATGGTCATTAGGAACATGCATGCAGGTGCGCATGCATGCAATGCTAAGATGACCAATATACTTGATATAGCCGGAACTTATTTATTTTTTGACGAAATGTTTTGATACTGAGAATATAAAGATGCATTAATAGTATAGATGAGATGACATGGTCATCCTGCACATGCATGCACGTGCGCGCGCGTGAAATGCAAAAAACGATCAATATACTTCATTGCCTTATTTAATGAAGCTTACAGGAAATAAGACACCAAGAGGGTGTCGGGGAGCGTTTGGGGAACATCTGTAACGGTCCCCGTTACAATTAATACTAGTTTTTCTTCTTCTTCTTCTTCTTCCTGGGTACTTTTTTGTCCGCGAGTTATCTCGTCAACTACTCATCCGATTGAGGTGAAACCTTTTTAGGGTTAATAGGCATGTTTTGTAGATATGCGGAATCAAGGTCATTTTGCGCGCACGTGCATGCACGTGCGTGCGCGTGCAATGCGTAAAATGACCAATATACTTGATATAGCTGTAACTTATATATTTTTTGATGAAATGCTTTGATACTCAGAATATAAGGATATATTAGAAGTGAAAACAAGATGACATGGTCAACATGCACATGCATGCACGTGTGCGCAGGCGCAAAGCGTAAAATGACAAATATACTTGATATAGTCGTAACTTTGATACTTTTTGATGAAATGCTTTGATACTCAAAATATTTATATATATTAAAAGTGTAGACAAGATGACATGGTCATCATGCACATGCATGCATGCATGCATATGCATGCACGTGCGCGCGCGTGCAATGTGTTAAATGACCAATATACTTAATATAGCCGTAATTTTTATATTTTTTTATGAAAAGCTTTGATATTAAGAATATACAGATATATTAAAAGTGTAGACAAGATGATGTGGACATCATGCTCATGAATGCACATGCGCGCGCGTGCAATGTGTTAAATGACCAATATACTTAATATAGCCATAACTTTTATATTTTTTTTTTATGAAAAGCTTTGATACTAAGAATAAACAGACAAATTATAAGTGTAGACAAAATGGCATGGTCATTAGGAACATGCATGCAGGTGCGCATGCGTGCAATGCTAAGATGACCAATATACTTGATATAGCCGGAACTTATATATTTTTTGATGGAATGTTTTGATACTGAGAATATAAAGATGCTTTTATAGTATAGATGAGATGACATGGTCATCCTGCACATGCATGCACGTGCGCACGCGTGAAATGCAAAAAACGATCAATATACTTCATTGCCTTATTTAATGAAGCTTACAGGAAATAAGACACCAAAAGGGTGTTGGGGAACGTTTGGGGAACATCTGTAACGGTCCCCGTTACAATTATAACTAGTTATTATTATTTTTCTTCTTCTTCTTCTTCTTCCTGGGTACTTTTTTGTCCGTGAATGATCTCGTCAACTACTCATCCGATTGAGTTGAAACCTTTTTAGGGTTAATAGGCATGTTATGTAGATTTGCGGAATCAAGGTCATTTTGCGCGCACGTGCATGCACGTGCGTGCACGTGCAATGCGTAAAATGACCAATATACTTGATATAGCTGTAACTTTTATATTTTTTGATGAAATGCTTTGATACTCAGAATATAAGGATGTATTAAAAGTGTAAACAAGATGACATGGTCAACATGCACATGCATGCACGTGTGCGCACGCGCAAAGCGTAAAATAACAAATATACTTGATATACTCGTAACTTTTATACTTTTTGATGAAATGCTTTGATACTCAAAATATTTATATATATTAAAAGTGTAGACAAGATGACATGGTCATCATGCACATGCATGCATATGCATGCACGTGCGCGCAATGTGTTAAATGACCAATATACTTAATATAGCCGTAATTTTTATATTTTTTATGAAAAGCTTTGATATTAAGAATGTACAGATATATTAAAAGTGTAGACAAGATGATGTGGACATCATGCTCATGAATGCACATGCGCGCGCGTGCAATGTGTTAAATGACCAATATACTTAATATAGCCATAACTTTTATATTTTTTTTATGAAAAGCTTTGATACTAAGAATAAACAGACATATTATAAGTATAGACAAAATGGCATGGTCATTATGAACATGCATGCAGGTGCGCATGCGTGCAATGCTAAGATGACCAATATACTTGATATAGCCGGACTTATTTATTTTTTGATGAAACGTTTTGATACTGAGAATATAAAGATGCATTAATAGTATAGATGAGATGACATGGTCATCCTGCACATGCATGCACGTGCGCACGCGTGAAATGCAAAAAACGATCAATATACTTCATTGCCTTATTTAATGAAGCTTACAGGAAATAAGACACCAAAAGGGTGTTGGGGAGCGTTTGGGGAACATCTGTAACGGTCCCCGTTACAATTACAACTAGTTATTATTATTTTTCTTCCTGGGTACTTTTTTGTCCGTGAGTGATCTCCGAAACTATACATCCGATTGAGTTGAAACCTTTTTAGGGTTAATAGGAAAGTTATGTAGATTTGCGGAACGAAGGTCATTTTGCGCGCACGTGCATGCACGTGCGTGCGCGTGCAATGAGTAAAATGACAAATATACTTGATATAGCCATAACTTTCAAATCTTTTGATGAAATACTTTGATACTCAGAATATAAGGATATATTAATAGTGTAGACAAGATGACATGGTCAGAATGCACATGCATGCACGTGCGCGCATGCGCATTGATTGAAAAAACTAATACAATTGGTATAGACTTAACTTGTATTTTTTTGATGAATTGCTTTGACACTCAGAATATAAATATATATTAGAAGTGTAGACAAGAAGACTTGATCGGTGCACACATGCATGCACGTGCGTGCGCGTGCAATGAGTAAAATGACAAATATACTTGATATAGCCATAACTTTCATATCTTTTGATGAAATGCTTTGATACTCAGGATATCAGGATATATCAATAGTGTAGACAAGATGACATGGTCAGAATGCACATTCATGCACGTGTGCGCATGCGCAATGATTCAAATAACCTATACAAATGATATAGACTTAACTTGTATATTTTTTGATGAATTGCTTTGAAACTCAGAATATAAATATATATTAGAAGTGTAGACAAGATGACATGATCAGCGCGCACATGCATGCATTTGCATGGACGTGCGTGCGCGTGCAATGAGTAAAATGGCCAATATATTTGATATAGCCATAACATTTACATTTTTTGATGTAATACTTTGATACTCAGAATATATAGACAGATTATAAATGTAGACAAGACGACATTGTCATCATGTATATGCATGCACGTGCGCGCGCATGCAATGCTAAAATGACCAATATACTTGATATAGCTGTAACTTTTATACTTTTTGATGAAATGATTTGATACCCAAAATATGTAGATATATTAATAGTGTTAACAAGACGACACGGTCATTATGGACATGCATGCACGTGCGCGCGCGTGCAATGCGAAAAATGACAGATATACTTAATATAGCCGAATTTTTTTATCTTTTAATGAAATTTGAATATAAAGATGTATTAAAAGTGTAGACAAGTTGACATGGTCATTTTGTAAATGCATGCCTGTGCGAGCGCGTGTAATGCGTTAAAAAAAAACAATATACTTGATTGCCTTATTTAATGAAGCTTACGGGGAATAAGACACCAAAAGGAAGTTGGGGAGCGTTTGGGGAACATCTGTAACGGTCCCCGTTACAATTAATACTAGTTCATTATGTGCTATTCCATCGATATCTCCGACATGTTCGTCGTATTTATGAAGGTCTTTGACAAAGGATTAATACCTAAAAAGACATAACATATTGAATATGGCTTAACATATTTCATTTTTCGTCTCAATTTGTCCTAATACGCTACACGTTGGAGATAACGTAGCGTAACGTTATTACATATAAAATATATTATATTAAGGTTATTTTTTCTGTTGTTGATACAATTTGATGATTTTTTTTTTTTTTATAAAAATACAACTCTTTTATGTGAAATGAATTCAAATACTGTGTACATTTATATTACAATTTAAACACTGTATTGAAATACTTTGACAAGTCCTTCATCATATCCCACCCACAATGTAGACTTGTACAGTGATAATTTGACTGGATGATTCACTTCATTGTCTGTCAGTAAGAACTTTAAGAACTCCCCATCAGGACTCAGCAGATGGATCTGTTTGTTACGTGGGTCAGTAACAAGGATGTTACAGAGGGAGTCACACACCACATCAGATGGATCAAAGTTCTCTGTCAGGTTCTGTCCATGGTACACAGACTTCATGCGACCAGAGGGAGACATAATCAGTAGAACACATGTAAATTCATTTATACAGTTTGCAACACAGATATCACAGTTACCGTTCTGAGTGATTCTGTATGGCAATGTTAACAGTTTGGTCTCACCGTCCTCCTGGTACTCATACTCATGGATGACGTCACCTGTCATTGTGATGTGTCTCAGCAGACATCTGCAGTGTGACTCTAATGTGTTGAGATCTAATGTTGCTTCTGTCAAGGTGACCAGTAGTCCACCACTCACTGACTGACAGATTCCTCTTGGTACCAGTGGATCTGTACTGATGACTGTAGAGACAGATCCTGATGGTGACAGACAGCTGATGGAAGTGTTAATAGCATCAATAAAATAAACATTGTTATCAATCACACACATTTTGTCACATGTACCAGTGATTCTAAATTTATGTTCTTTTGCACCTTGTGTATTGACTTTTTCTACAGACTGTGATAAAAATTCTTTGATGTAACTTTGGTCTTTACTGAATGCCTCCAACAAATCTATTTCACTATCACCATATTAAATTAGTTTATTTGGCTCACATTAATAACATTTAAATCCAAAAATCTTCCAATCAAAGATTCAATTAAGTCATCTTTGATTTCACCTCTAGTGAACCTCATTGAATATTCACAGTTTGTCATATGAACCTCCAATTCAGACAGCATTTTTATCAGTTTTCTATGGCTGTCAATCAAGCTGTAATCTGACATGGTGCTGTTGTTCTCCTCCATGAATTCAACTGTGTTAGCAATTCCTCTCTTCATCTTGTCTAACTTAGATTTTGCAAGGTTCAGTTGATCATTCTTTTTTACCAAATTCTCTCTCAATTTCTGTTCATTGCGTTTTTTGATTTCTGCCAGTCTGGATATTAGCTCATCAAAATGCTTCTGTAGCTTTTCAGTCTCAGCGTCACACAGTTCTTTATTTTCTGTGATCTGTTGTGGAATCTTCTCTCTCTTTTCAGTCATCAATTCCAGGCAGATCCTCTTCCTTTATCTTTTTCAGGAATTGAAGCAAACCTCTCCTCCCTTGGGTGGCTGCTGTGGATAGAGTTTTCCAATCATGATCTCTATGATCGCATCTGGCACAACTAGCACAAATAAACTGATTACAAACGTCACATACTATATCAATAGGTAATTCATGGGATTCACACATTAGAATGTGCACCAGCGGAGAGCCCAATGAATATTCCTCTGGGTGGCTTTCAGCCATGTTTGCCGGATGTCAGTGACTTAGTTATTAGTTTGTTCTTGTACGCATCGTAGATAACCTGAGGATTGTGAAGTTGGACTTTACATTTATTCAGTACGATGTGCAATGAAATGTAAACACACAGGTGTATATTATGATATTACACAATATATCTATTTGATCTGGAAAAATATTGAGATTTTTTTTAACTTCAGTAGTTGCAAGAGGACTCTAATTCATATCGAATGGCAAATATTCCCCACATTGTGTGGATTCAAGATTCATTTTTTGCAGTTTATAGGGTTAGATACGGGTTGGGCTAAAATAAGGGATCATTTATTTTATTCATCACCGTGTGGTTTAGCCTTGCAATCTTAGTAAAGTTCAGATTAGAAGGTTTGTATAGGATCATGCAGATATATTTTGGATATGTCAGACTCTACTTTTCTTCAAAAAAGAATTGATAAACGATAGAATTACTTATTTAAAAAAATAATTGTGGTACCCAGCTTATGAGACTGCAGAGTTAATCATTTCAATACTCAGACATTCTTTCAGCATGTTGATTCGGGTTTGTTTGAGTTATTGATACTACAGTGATAGTCAACTTGGGGATAAAATTTTAATTAATACATGTCTATACTGGATTTTTTCTTATCTACAACCGCAAGGGCATGTCTATTGATAATCAGCCTGAACCACTAAGATTAGGTTGGGGTCATATTATTGTAGACGCTTAAGGCCAAATAATAACTGAAATATCTAACAAACGGGATGACCTCCAGATCGGTTTTTCCATTGCCAACTTCTCACATGTATTTATACAGTAATATCCCAATATCGTTGACAAATGATCTTTATGTTTCCAAACTTATTCGGTACGCTAAAAACATGCTCTCTATGCTATCAACTTTTGAAATGAGGAAGAATACTGACAAATAAGTTGATTATACAGGACTTTGAAAAGTCTAAATCAAAGTCAGCATCTTGATTATTCCTTGGTAATTGTCTTATGACCTTGTTAGCAAATACATTGAGTAATTTCAGAATCTTTTTATCTTTAACGAATTTACAAAATTGCATGAAGGCCATTACTTTAATTTACAGATACGGAATTGAAAGCAAGAGCACGATGCCGTTGAATCCAAGAAAAATATATAAAATTGCAGGCCCGTAGAATGCGGGGGACAAGGCCCCCCACTTGTTCTGAGTATAGTATTTTGCTATAGTAAATTTTCCTTTATATGCTCCCCCCCCCTTTTTTGTTGCAGTAAGGTCGGTTGGACGGTAAATAATGTTTTTTTTTTGTTTTTTTTTTGGGGGGGGGTGATATTTTGTTTGTTTGTTTTTTTTGTTTGTCAAAGTATTTTGGGAAGTTGGCCCCCTCACTTTTTGATTAGTTTAGGTTTTTTTTTTTTGCTTGTTAGATTTTTTAGGGAAGTTGCCCCCCCCCCCCCCCCCACTTTTGAAACCGTTGTGTGGACAAATATATGTTCTTCCTTCAGACGAATTTAATATACTCGTATGTTAGAAGAAATTAAAAATAGATAAAATTGTTTGGACGAACTGGATGTAAGCTTGGAATTACATATTTGTTCGAACAAAATTGATGATTCTTCTTTTGACAAGACTTATCATTCCTCTGATAAAGGACAGCATCCAGAAAAAGTAAAGATGATACATATAGAATAATATATACTTTTTCTATATCACATCTTGTATCAGCACGAAACACCAATATCAGCCAAAGAGCCGAAGGCCCGAGGGCTGATATTGGTCGAGGGCTGATACAGGATGTGATGTGGAAAAGGGTATGTTTTATTATGTTTATTACATGCTTACTAATAATGAAATCCAGCACACATCTACTTGAGCAAATGCAAAATAAAAAATCACTTAATTACTGCCTTAAATTTTCATATCAAAGAACAATAATTTAAGTTAAGAGAGTGTTGAAGAAAAAATTGTAGTACATTATCACCGTTTTTTAAATTTACCTGAGCTGAAAGCTAAAGTGAGCTTTTCTGATCACATTTTGTCTGTAGTCCGTCTGTCTGGCTGTCCGTCCATCCGTCTGTCTGTAAACTTTTCACATTTTCGACTTCTTCTCCAGAACCACTGGGCCAATTTCAACCAAACTTGCCACAAAGCATCCTTGGGAGAAGGGAATTCAAGTTTGTTCAAATGAAGGGCCACGCCCTCTTTCAAGGGGAGATAATGAAGAATTAATGAAAAATTAATAGCATCTTTTAAAAATCTTCTTCTCAAGAACCACAGGGCCAGGAAAGATGAAACTCATGTGGAAGTATCCTCAGATAGTGTAGATTCAAATTTATTCAAATCATGACCCCCGGGGTAGGGTGGGGCCACAATGGAGGATCAAAATTTTAAATAGAAATATAAAGGAAAAATCTTTAAAAATCTTCTTCTCAAGAACAGCAAGGCCATGATGAGTTATATTTATATGGAAGCATCCTCAGATAGTGTAGATTCAAGTTTGTTCAAATCATGACTCCCGGGGGTAGGGCGGGGCCACAATGGAGGATCAAAATTTTTTTTAGAAATATAAAGGAAAAATCTTTCAAAATCTTCTTCTCAAGAACAGCACAGTCATGATGAGTCTTACTTACATTGAAGCATCCTCAGGTAGTGTAGATTCAAATTTATTCAAATCATGACCCCCGGGGGTAGGGCGGGCCATAATGGAGGATCAAAGTTTTACATAGAAATATAAAGGAAATTTTTTTTTAAATCTTCTTCTCAAGAACGGCAAAGCCATGATGAGTTATATTTATTCGAAAGCATCCTCAGGTAGTGTAGCTTCAAGTTTGTACCCCCGGGGGTAGGGCGGGGCCACAATGGAGGATCAAAGTTTAACTTAGAAATATAATGGAAAAATCTTTAAAAATCTTCTTCTCAAGAAGAGCAAAGCCATGATGAGTCATTTTGATATGAAAGCATCCTCAGGTAGTGTAGATTTAAGTTTGTTCAAATCATGACCCCGGGGGGTAGGGCGGGCCACAATGGAGAATTAAAGTCTTAAATAGAAATATATGAGAAAATTTCTTCTGAAGAAGAATTGCAAATCCATGATGAATTGGGCGACTCGGGCCACAATGGGGGAATAAAAATTTTACATAGGAACATATAGGAAAATTTTTTCTTCATATGTTTAGTCATTTTGATATGGAAGCATCCTCAGGTAGTGTAAATTCAATTTTGTTCAAATGATGACCCCCGGGGTAGGGTGGGGCCCAATGGGGGATCAAAGTTTTACATAAGAACATATAGAAAAAATCTTTCTTCTCAAGAACATAAAAATTATGTTTAGTCATATTGATATGGAAGCATCCTTAGGTAGTGTAGATTCAAGTTTGTTCAAATGATGACCCCTGGGATAGGGAGGAGCCACAATGGGGGATCAAATTTTTACGGAATATATGGGAAATTTTTAAAAATCTTCTTAAGTACAACAAAACCATTTGTTATACTGACATGGAAGCATCATCAGGTAGTTTAAAATTCAACCCCCCAGTAATCTTTTCAATACACCCCCCAGGTAATCTTTTCAATACTGAACTAATCTGTGCTTTTGCTAGGCCAATGTGTTCAGGTGTTAAGGTTTAATATATAAATCCCTATCAACCCTGCAGAACCATATGAGCCCTGCATGATCCGTATCAGCCCTGGAAGCTGATATGGCTACTGTTACATGTACATGTATGTCAGGCATATCGCACATGCAAAATCTAAAACCTGTATTTATCACTAAGTATGTTAAAAATGTATATAGCACATGGATCCAATGCACGTTGGGACTCAGATATGGATATCTGAATCAGATTATGTTTTTGTTAAAGTGACTCCATTACTTTGTAGTTTCTGAGGTTTCATGGAAGTTTTACTTGGAGTTTATTCTAAAATTGCTTGCATCTCAACTTTATTTGCAATATGCATTAGATATTTAATTATTGCTTGTTGTTTCGGTATTGATGAAAATGAACCAAACGTCTCTAAAACATCATTAATACCTCTCATTTAAATTACGAGGGGTTATCAAAAAGTTCGTGGACTAGCGTCATAAAATTAAAACCGCTTAAGGTACTTCAATGAATTTTTAAACATTAAAAATAAGCATCTTCTTTTCTATCTGTAAAATAAACTATAAATCACAAGTTTTATTTTTTAGTGAATAGTAAATGATTTTGTAAGCAATGGTATGTCAAGGCGGCGCAACCTCGAACATGACGTATTTTCTACCTGAGTGTAACTGAGAAAAACTCTTCTAATCTGAGCATTTGTCATCCGAAAATCCCATTAATTCACTCATGTGATATGACACAATTTTTCCGTAAAAGTTGCAATTTTTACCTCATTCTGTATATTCTATGAAATTTTATTGTAGATTTTATAGGGAATGTCCGAACAATAAAGGGGTTAAAAATGACTTCGAAAGGGGGTAGGATGTCATGTTACAACATTCTATAAAGTTTCAGCCCCTGAAAAACCTGACATAGACCTAGAAAATGTTTAAACAGACTACAAGAAATAAAATACATCCAGAGTACTTGTTTTTTAAATACAAAAACAGATTTAGCAAGAAAAGAGACACACGGTTAAGGTATTCAATGTATAACGACCATATTTTGTACCTAATTAATGAATGGTCCATGGTTTTTGATTATGGTAGCAATATGAAGGTGTAATTAAATAAAAATGCTCCACCAGAGGAATTTGCCAAATTTTGATTATTGTCCAATCAATTGCACCTTGA